CGAGACAAGGATGTCATGCAGGACATGACAATTCCCAATTGAAGTTGTAGTGAAAATAGTTGATTACTGCTCATGATTGATTACTGCCTCTATACTTATCCGCCTCTGCGAATGGTAACATGAACATCTGGACAATGTCATATTATGCCGACTGGACGTGGCTCGATTCTCTGTCTCATCCTGGGCACCTGGCCAGTGTTCGGGGAGGTGGTAACATATCAGTCTGCAAGTTCACAGGGTTTGTGCCGAAAAGACTCTATAAAGCAGGAGACCCTCGGGCTGACCTCTGAAGCCTCACCTATGGGTGGACGCACCACACAGGACTCTCCCAATTACCGCGGTTCTCTAGGGGCCAGCTGCTGAAGGGCTTCCCAACTGAACTGTGAATCCAGTTGATGGTTTTGAGGTGGTAATTGATGATGTATCCTTTTCTTAATCACTGTCTTGCTTTACAGTAATGAACTCGTGCATCACTATGCTGCTTATCTTTCCTTTTTAACTGGTGCACTGTTATTCTGCTTTTCTTTTTGATTGTTACTATCATATATATATATAGTAAAGCATATTAATCTTAATATATAAAGCTGTAGTTTGTGGTTTTACTTGGAATCCCGCCATTCAGCAAGACAGAAGCACATGTACAGTTGTGCACTTTAATAACTGGATGCCCCAAGCCAATGTGCTCAGCCATCAAAGAGACCCAGTGCTGAATGCAGAGGACAAATCTCCTAAATAATCTCCTAAAGCATATAAAACTTCAAAAAGGTACTTTTTCCAAAAAGCATTCACAACCCTGAATCCTCTCCTGGCACTAATAACTAGTCCTTCCACCCTTTTCTTCATGAGATGGTAGCAGAACCCCTCCTTCTACCCACTGGTCATCTAACTAGACTACTCAGTTACAACATACCTTTGAATGAACACTTAATTGCCACACTAAGTAGCTATATTCTTACTCAAATTTCTTCTATCGACTGACTTTTGTCTAAAAACTCTAAAATATTCACTAGGTCACAGAACAAGTAACCTTAACCAAGAAGCTAACCTTCATCTCAGAGAGGAAAGAGCTCTGCTCTTGGATGCTTTAGTGCATCCATGGAACATCTGGGGGTGCAGAGACTGATCACCAGACTACGGAGTAGGAAAGGAGTTACACAACTGCTGTCTGCCATTGTACCCTTGTGTGGTCCTGCTCAGTGCTTTGGGCATACCGGGTAGCCCGGACCTCTGTGCTGAGGATAGGAAGTACCTGGCTTGTGAGCTGCAACAGGACATTAGGATTAAAATAAGCACCTAGCAACTCTGCCCTGTGAAGACACCCAGCTCTGTAACTCCTAGAAAATGAGAGCCATAAGTACATGAAGTTGCTCCAACAAGATGCCTGTGCAGCCTAAGGGTGAAACCCATTCCCCTCTGCTGTCCATCTCTGTCTAAGTAAGCTGGCGAGTGCCTTTATAACCACGCAGTCTGTACATTCCATGGAGCTTCAGGTGTGACTGACCTGACCAAATTTAGGGATTGACATTAGCAATTAAAAATGCCTAAATCCTCTAGTAGATACATATACACACACCCCTCCTCCCCCCAGAAAAGCAGTATCACAAAATAGACAACAGCTACCCTCATCAGAAGATGAATACAACTGAGAGGAATTTCCCCCCATTTTTCAGAGATCCAGCTTCCCTCCAGGACTTACTAAAAAGCTTTTTGTATCTCTGAGCTATCAGCTCAAAATTTAACACCCTTGTAAACAGAAAAGACAAATATTTGTTATTAAGAAACATGAAGAAAAACAGCTGTCATTAACAGTATTCAGGGAAGGATATATTGTTGAGGTGCATTAGACCTGAAAAGTAGTATTATGACTGACCTTAAACACAAGCACTTCATGCCAGCTTGGTGGTTACTCTGAGTGATGTTCACCTGAATCAACATCTATCTGGAGCTAGCCAGTACTTCCCATTCTTAATTTGAACAAAAGAAACCCCAAGCAAACAAAAAACCTGCAACATTCAGCACTTCAGATTACTGAAGTGAAGACTGCTAGGCTGCCCAGCCACAAAACGAGCTTAATGGTGTTCCTGATAAGATGATCAAATGTAAAGCTGTCAGGTTCAGTTAAAATGGAGTTTGTACATTTGCCACATTCTCAACCTGCAGCAGTGTACTGAAACAAACTTATGTATTTATTTTACTTAGCCTGGTCATGACAAATGCAGAAAAATGTGGGGTCTTTTGGTAAAAAATGATGCCCCCACCTTTAAAGTCACTCTCTGGTCCCTCAGCCCCTGAAGGATGTTGGTCCCACTGCCAATAAGATCATCCATGCCACGATGGGCATTCTGGAGGGATTCATTAAACTGTAATGTTTCGTCGATCGGTATGGTGGTGTCAGAGTCCTGTGGGGAAAATGCAGGGTCTTGGTTACCTTGCCTGCTCACGCACACTGCCTGTACATAGTTAGATCCAATAAAGAACATGCAGAAAAAAATGTGGCAAAAATCTGACAGGTCTTGAAGGATTATGTTTTAAACTTTTTGTAAGGCTATTAAATACAACATTAATATTTGAGTGAAATAAGTAACTTAGAGAAGGCTACAGGAAGCAAGATGACGAGCAAAGTTGATCAGCTGTTCAATTGTAAAGGATAAAAATTATCTCAAAGGCTAAAAAGTCAGATTAAAAGCGGAGATTTTTGTATAAACTCAGTTTATGATATATGTAGGAAAGGGTGTTACAAGAGAACAAACATCAAAACTAACAGAAGGTCAGTCCTAACACAAGGACTCCTTTGATGACTGCAAGTGAAAGACTTCTGAAAGATTTAATATCCCATTTCTAAGTGACAAAAGGCCTGCAAAACAGTGTCTGGGAGATTCTATGAATTTACAGCATGGTGCAGATTTCTGATAGTGAGGGCAAACAGACATGAACCTAGTTCCCTGAAGGTCTGAGTCAACACCCAAGGCCTTATCTAAAAATAAAAATTAAAAAAAATAACTTGTCCAGAAAAGATGTATTCGCTCCACTAGGAACTAGTAATCACTAGTAATCTAGATTGCACAGAGGTCAGAGGTGATCACTTTGTCTTTCAAAGGCCTCCAGTTTAATCTTCTCTAGACACCACTGCATTGAGAGAGTCAAGATAATAGCTCATCACTCCCTCACTGTTTTCTGAACATGAATCGTGGCATTGGTGAGAGCTAAGTGTGGACACTTAGTGTGTCTTACCTGCTTCCATGTAGTCAGAACAAGAACTACTGAAATGCAGAATTCCTATTTAGGGCAGAAAATGGTTAATACCCTGCACCTGACTGACAGCTGTAGGTTACATGTATGTAACAATACCAAACTTGCTCTGAGTAGATCGGGTCATTACTGTGAAAAAACAAAGTCAATATGGGAACGACATGTATGATCCAGTGTTCGATGATGTACTGCCTAGTCGGGTGTTCTGCTAACTGTAGAAGAACCACAAATCAAGGACAGAGCTGTTAGAAGTTGCAGGGTCAAAGTTACTGGATGAAGAAGCCAAGCCATGACAGCACACGCATCACTTTGATCAAATGTTAATAAAGCACTAAGGTTAAAACTAGTATCTTGTTGCAGAAGCACTTGGGTTTGCACCTGAATGGCTATTATTTCAGATAATTTATTAAACTTCAAATCAGCAGGGACTCCATTTCCTATACAAGGAGCTTGTAGGGGTTTTTTTATACACCACAATGCAGCAAGAAAATATCAGAGCAGATTTTTGACCCTCTGCACAGGGAGACTAGATGGCATGGTATCTTTCATTTGCTGTTAGTGGTTTTCTCCAGAATGGGGCAAGACAGGCTTTAAAAATAAGGATTATATTTATCTTCAAATTAAGCAAAATGTTCAGAACACTGCTACTGTAATATACGTAACTTTAGAAAGCTTGTGACTCGCTCAGGATGCTTCCATGCTGAGCTGGCATTTCTATTTTAACAGAATAAGTTACTATATAGTATAGACTTCTAACCAAACAGATAGGCCAATAACCAACACATAAATCATCGTTGCCCTATTAAAGGGTTATTGTACCTTAAGTCACATTTTTGTAACACATTAAAAGACATAGAAAATAAGCAGGCTTTTTTTTCCCATCCTGAGACACCTTTCAATGTCTAAAGGAGAAAAAAACAATTCACCATTTATTTTGTATTTGCAAGGCTGCTACTACTCTTCAAAACTTTTCCACTAACACGTCTTATTTCTGAACAATACGTTTGCCTATACGAAAACTTCTCCATACTTGCAGAGGAACACCATGTTGTTTTAAAAACAAATCAGGTTCCAAATTATTTCAGTGTTCAAGTCTTTGTTTATAATTTTGGAATAGCCGACAGAATGCTAGATGTCATCTTTTTGTCGGGCTTTGAGAAGTGCATCGAACTTCCCAAATCTCAAGAATAACACAGAAAATGAATGGTAGGTCATATGCTTTAACAAAAAAAACCCAAACCAAACCACAAAACCCCACACCAAAAAACTCCAAGCAAAACGAAACAACAACAACAAAAAAAGGACTAACTTTTGAGATAGAGAAAAGCGAAATCTGAAAGCACACCTACGTTATTCAGAGCAAAATTCCTCACAATGGAAAAACTAAAAACTAACAAGAACAGGTGGAAACACATTCCTGACATCAAAAATATTTGAATCATTTAGAAGTGAAAAGCAAGGGGATTTTCCCCAGCTGTGTGATTTGCATTTGAACAAATTAAAGCTTGCTAACCTCTACTGACAACAGGGTGTATAAAAGCCTGACATTTTCCAAATCCTAGGATTTGACGAAGACATTTGGCACAAAACCAAGTATACTTCGGTACCTACCTCACTCACCCTTTGGACACTGCTACATCAACTGAGGTAGAACTGCACTGAATAAGACAGAAGCAGCAGTTTCTGGAGACTCTTACTACTGCATCTTAATAAACCAAATTTTCCTCATGACATTTGCACTTTTCAACATGTATTATTACTCTTACATATCTTTATTCCATTTATATCTCACAGCACCAACCTAAGAGTCATGCCTACATCTTTCCTGAAACTTCTCTGAAAGACTACAGCATCTAGAATACAGAGATCTAAAATAAAGACTATTTACATTAGTAGTGAATGTACGTGCAAGCAATTCTTCTCGCTGTCGCTCCTGCTGCTCCCGGATGTAACGGCGATGTTGGAAGTTCCTCAGAGCTGTCTGCAGATGCTGAACATCGTACTTCAGTTGGTCAACTCGGCTAGAAGGGATCAACAACAGGAAAACATTCCCAGGGATACAAATAGCATCCTTTTCTGCTGGTTTTTATAAAAACAATAAATTATCAGTGACAAATAATAAAGAATGACAGGTTCTACTTATTTAGAAGATAAAGGACATTCAATGTTAGGCCTATATTCCAGACTCAGAACTTCTGTGTCTCATTTTTTCTGCTAAACAGGCAATAATTTAACTGAAGACTAATGAAAATGTGAAGCAGAATTCTTGAGCTGTCTTGGACATCCTATCCCATGACTGGTCTCTTCAGGAGTTTACATATATTCCTCATTTAACACAGATTTGGAAAGATGCCAGGATTTGAAAAGTTAACATAAAAGATTAAGCTTCCAAGTTTCATTAATTAGCAGAATGTTTTTAAATTTTCGGTTTTATTAAAAGGAGCTTACAAGTCAGTGAGCAATACAGGAGACATCGCCACTAGTCTAAAACAAATACTGTCCAGAACTCCCTTGTCTCTGGCTGAATGTCTGATTAGTACCAAGAAAGACGACTACTTCAGATACTGCCCTCTATAATACAGGTGACATGGTATTTGTAGATACTACATGCCTAGTATCTACAAAGGCATTCTGGGACTACGTGTTGATAATAGAGTCACAGAATAAATTAGAACATAAAGTCCTGAGGTCTCTGGTCCAACCTCCAGCTCAAACTGTGCTAACTTTAGAAATCTCCTTATTTTAGTCATCAACAGCTAGGAAAATGGTCCAGAGAAAATTATACCAACTGAAGTAATCTTACTCCTTACCTCCAGCAATGCCATTAAAAGCAAATGCCGTATAAAGTAGAGACTTTTTCAAGCCCTGAGTTCCATTTTCTGCTCATCTCAGAACAGGACCAGGAATCCAGCCCCATCACCAGTCTGGTTAAGTACAGGAAAGTGATTTTGTCCCTGTGTCTCAATTTTGCTACTGTAGAGCACGGAGATAAGTTACACAAAGTGCAAAGGTTCCACTCAAATCAGAAGGCAAAGGGCTTCAATGAATTTAATGAAAATAATTACAAAGACTACACTACACTAACACAGCAAAGAAGGTGAACTTACAGTTTAGCATTCTGCCGCTTATTGGGAGGTTCTTTGTTGGACAGGATTTCCAGACGTTCCAAGTTGCTGAATATATTGTCTATTCTTGCCTGAATCTCATTTTCTACTACTGCAAGGAAAAAAAATGTGATTGCATTTGAATTAAAGAACTGCAATCTGAGTGAAGGTAAAAACTCAAAAGTATTCAAACCAGTATTTAAAACCTGACAGATGCAAATCCTTACTGGATGAAAAAAAAAATCAGGTGAGAGCTATACATATCACAAAAAGCCATTTCTTCAACTAATAATTTAAGACTCTTGCCTTCCACTCCTCCTCCGAGAAGAGGGCTAGGAAAGCCCAGCTCTTTCAAGATATCTGGGCCCCTTCCCCTGTCAGCTCCATGTATTAGGATTTAAATCTGCCACATTCCCCCCTGCAGCCCCTTCCTGTTCTGTCCGCAGGATTTGTTCATACAAGATGATTCTCACAACGGCAATTTAAACTTCTGAAAACTATTAACACAGAATTAATATATGTCACCCATACCTACAGCAGGAGAGATTAACAGAGCACGGGAAGGATTCAGAGTTGACAGGAACTGGCAAATCAGACAAACAGCTCAGAAACTGGGCTCAGCTCTGCCCTGGGCAAAACAGGGCTGAGAAGTCCTTGCATGTGGGAAAACAAAACCTCAAAGTAATTGACTCTGTAATCAACCACCTTGCAAATGCTCCTGATCATCTGTGTAGAAACAGCAGAGGGGCAACAGTACACAACACAAACTTGTATACTTGGACTTCAGTGAGGTGTGAAACTGATATAACTGGGGAAAAAAGGGGTTGTATGCTTTCCATTACTGTAGTCATTGTACAGCAAAACTCGCCACAAGCCACAACCTCCTTCCTCATTTTCTAACCATGTTGCAATCCAGCGTTTCACAACGTAAAGAAGACTGAAAGACAGAAGCACTATTAATCATATGACATCATTCCTTTGTTTAAAGAAGGTGAGCAGTAAGGCTGAAGGTATGCACCCTCCAGCACGTCCACAGATGGGTTATCAGAGAACAGAAGCACCATCACGTCTGTGCAGCCATGAGGACAGTCCTGAAGTCTCAGACTGTCATGGTCAGACCTGTTATGCCTAAATCCTACAGACCCCATTTGTTCTTAGTTTGCATTTAAAGACATATACAGAAAAGCATTATTAACCAACTGCTAACTACTCCACAGTGTCTCAGGGCTTTCCAGAAAATCCATTCAGCAGAAACCAGAAAAGCAAACAGCACATAACAACCCCTTCTCTTTGCCCTTTGATCTCACACAACCAAAGAGTAACCAACTCACATACATAGACACAAATCAATCAAATTGTTCTATTTCATCTCTCCATCATTTAGTACAATTAAACTTAACAGAAAAGCAGTCAGGAGAGCAGACCATTACATCAGCTTTGCTAGTCCAAACAACAGAATTACTATCTTGGTTGTCTTACGCTTTCCTGAGCTAGAAGGGATTACTTGCCTAAAGCTAGAAAACGAAAGCCGCAAGAGAAAGTTTGATTTCCTGGCTCCTATTCCTGCTTTTCAGCCAAAAGAGAAGCCTTTTTCCCATAAATTTGGAAATACACACTAATATCTAGAGCACATATCTGTATCTTTATATATATACATATATATATATACAGTATGTTCTTTAATTGACTACATAAGATGGTATCTCTTGAAATGGTCTCAAGTAGCAGAGGCAAGATGGCAAATTACACTAATTTTCAAGAGGTTCCAAAATCACATCCAGTGAACAGCAGTCCGGGAAGTCTGGCACTGCACTAGGAGTAGTGCAACCACCTCAAAACACAGAACCAGAAGACAAGTCAATATTGTTAATAGGAAAGTTATCCCAGCCCTTTCTACAGCAAAGTCATGATTCACAAATATATTTGGGGCAACAGAAGTCAGTCAACATGTGCATAAATGTATCCCATCAATGCAGTGTCCTTTCACTTCAGAAGTTCCTGATGAGGCCCACTAGTAATTACTCATACAGGAATTAAAGCTTCAAACACAGGTCCAAAACACATTTGCCAACTCTGCACTGGGATGAAAAGTCTTGCCACAACGTATCATAGCATTTTATTAGTCATTTTATTAGCACAGGGTTATAGTCCAAATTTACTGACGCAATTTCAGACCTAGCTGTTCTACGTATTTCTCATAAGAGCTGGAATTAGAGGTTCTGACTCTGATGCAAGCAGGAACCATTAGAATCCTCCTGCTTAAATTCCTGCACACCAAATCACGGCATTTTCCCCAGAAATGGGACTAAGCATCTTTTGGAGAAGACTGCCAATTAGAGGACTCTTAAGGAACAGCAAAATAACAGAACACATATACAATCACATTTCTCAGCTTTTTGAGCTTCTAACAAACTCGACTGGTGATGTCCTGAATTTGTAGTTCTGTCCACATCAACGTGTTCATTTTACCTCCATGAATGCATCAATACAGGGGGGTTTAACCTGTTTATGCTGAAGGCCTCCACAGCATACCCTGACAATGAGTTCCAAAATCTAACATCACCAAAAAATATCTGGCATTCACATATCAAGACATTGTAGAAGCATCCACCATAAGCACTACTCGTCAATTAAAGAATTACAATGGGAAGATGATTTGAAGTAAATTCTTGTTCTGTCTTTTCTACTCTGTGCTTCATACAAACCATCACCTTATTGAAGTCAAATAGTAAAATAATTTCAATACATCCCAAATTGGTGATGCATCTCACCAGTTGATCACAATGACTGAAGAGCCAAATCTGTTCCAATAATGACTGTAAATACAATGATAAAGCATACAAGGTGAACAATGCAAGCTAAATCAAACCAGTACCATAGTGGACTTTTCTCACTGATTACTTACAGTGTACTGACTCTTTATCTGAAGTCTCCAAGTGCCCCATGTACGACTGGACCTCATGGACTTGCCTATCAAAAGACAAGAGTAAATTAATGGAAGTCATAGCAGCTATAAAATCAAATCATTCTTCAGTACCGCAATTTTCAGCTTCTTTTACTTAACAGTACTTTTTTAGAATAGAATATGGATAGGCTACATGGTATTCAGTGCAAACAGTCCACCTCTGAACACAAAAATACAACCCAATTCTTCAGTAAGTAGAAAGCTGTGCTTTCCAGTTAATAGGCATCTACTAAATAACTTTTGGTTTAAAAACAAAAATCAAGGTGACAGGGCTGTTTTGTCTTCAAAGATTTCCCATCAAGCTCTAGCTTCCTTTTTGTATTTATAACCTGAACTGGGGCCAAAAGCCATTAAGATCTACCTACTCCAAGACATCTGTGGAGACAATATTTTAGGATGACACAACTCCCAAGTGATGAGCGTGGAGGAGGGAAGATCTGACTGGGAGAAGACCTTAATAATAGATCTGTAGTGAAATACTACCTATATACACCACTAAAGTGAAGAGTGCTGATGAGACACCATACCTTTATGTCACTGCATAACTGGGTACTACACACCTTCAACGCGAAACATGGGGTTTGTCCCTCCCTTCTCAAAAAGAAAATAGAAGCACTGGCAGAGGGTCAGAGAAGGACAGCAAAGATTATGAAAACTACAGAGCAACTTTTATGCAAGAAAGTTCTATCTGGACTGGAGATGATAACAGGGAGATGTCCTAGAGCATAAATGGCACAGGAGAAGGTAAGGAATGACCTTCCACTGTCTGTTAAAACACATAAATTAGAGAGGCATCAAATGAAATTAAAAGATAGCTTAGAACTGAAGAGAAGGAACTCCCAATGCTGTACAAACAGTGGCAAACAAAAAAAGAAAACCAACCCAAAACCCCAAACACTGATGGTGGTGTAAATTCCTCTGTTTCAAGAAGCCCTGAGCCTCAAATTTCTGGGAGGTTGGGACAATATTCATTGAAAGTATCACGTATGTTTGCCCATTTCTTACTGTCTGTCCCAGAAATCTGCGGTTAGACGATGCTGAACATGTACTGGGACAGACGGACCTTTGGCCTTACTTGGTGTGAACAATCTCACAGTAGCTGGGATTCAGACTCTAAGAAATGGACTTTAAAAGGTACAAAAATATCACGACCTTTTTCAAAGGATATTAAAGAAATCATAATTTTAGTCACATTAGTGGTTTTTTTCTAGTGTATATACCATTTGATAACTACAGCACTAATGTTTATGAAGCCAGACCTCTGAAACCAGGTTACCTTAGAGAATAATCAAATATTTATTCTGCAGTTATTATATGTTTTTTAAATAACTATCAGGGCTACCTTCCAAATCACGACACTGTGCTGCTAACTGATTATAAGTACTGTATTACTTGGAATTAACTACAGAACCAATTCAGTATCCAGTATCTTGCAACCCACAGTCCTTCTATAGTTTTATTTTCAGTCAGGTTCTCTAGGATACCCCAGACAGCTGCTCTTAAAATGCTCTTAAAAAACCTGTTTAGAAACCCACGTGTAGGAGCCAAATCAGATCATGTGCAACTGAATCAAGAAAAAATACTTCAAATACTTCATGCTCACTACGACTCTTCCCATGACAGAAAATACAGTAAGTATGGGGAAAAGGTGGGAAAAAAGTTTAAAAATTCTGAGTATCCACAGACTGACAAGAAACTATGATAAAAACACAGCTCAGTGACTACAATGCGCAGAGAAGCTGTGGATGCCCCATCCCTGGAAGTGGTCAAGGCCAGGCTGGATGAGGCTTGGAGCAACCTGGTCTATTGGAAGGTGTCCCTGCTCATGACAGGGGTGGGGGGCTGGGTGGGCTTTAAGGTCCCTCCCAACCCAAACCGTTCTGTGATCACAGGACAAGGCAATGCGGAAACAGAAACAAAACAAGATTATTCCCTTTATCAGTAACAGTTACTATTATGGGTATGCATTTCTAAGTCAACAGCACGATTTCCTGCTCTTCCCTACAAGGTCACTCTATACCATTATTTAATGAAAGTCTCCTACTTACCAGACTATGTCCTTCAACACAGCTCAATCAAGAAAATTATTGTCACTGGAAGTTGAAATATTTCATTAACTGTCTACTTTGGTTCTTTCCCACAAGCTACTCCATATCACACACAGCTACAGTATTTTTTCCTTTATTTTGCAATTTTCCTACAACTTCTATCTCAGCAGATCAGTGTTACCTGTGAAACGTATCACCAAGGACTCACATATTTCTTGAAGCCGTTTACATGCCGTCTGTCTGCTAGCAGTCATGAAACCCCACTGCCATAAAAACCCTACTGTACTAGTATATGCACAATTGGTAAAACAGAAACCCTTGTTTTCATGTACTATTTGTAATCCTGTGCTTTAAAATCCCGAGGTGAACAGGCTTTGCTTGCTTTCGACTGACGTGGCTAACGGCAAGCTGTGACTCCGGACAGACACACGCTCAGCCGGGAGGACAGGCTTTTGCCTCCTTTCGTGGCTGAAACACAGTCCTCACGGCGAGGCTTCAGGGTGGAAGATGAAAATTTGTATGAGAGACAAGTTTTTAAAGGGCGCTGAGGGCGCGCTGGGCCGCAGGCACGGCGTCCCCCCCTCAAACTCTTCCCCGCACACCCTTAGGCAGACCGCTACGGCCCAGCCCGACCCCGGACTTCTCGCAGGACCTCGGAGGGTCGGTCCATTACAGCCCCCCGTCACCTCACGCACTTGTTGGTCTGATGGTAGAGCCCCTCCATGTCGGTGGCACGGCCCTCCCG